TCTTAAAGAGCCATATTATTTACCAACCATTAAAATATGAAATTTTATCTTTTAACTCACAGGGTATGTGGTTTGTCAAGTATCTTGTTAAATTACGTTTGTTCTTTCATAGGAAATGACATGTGTCTAATGCATAACATTGTAGCAAATTTACATTTGTATCGAATATGACATCTAGAGGTTGTCTAAGATTCTAAATCTATGGGTCATGACTTCTTACTTATGATTGCTTCTTAACCTCTGTTTCAGCCCTTACTTTGAACTTAGCATAGGCCATTTTGATTGGTAGATCTGAATATAAACAAAAACAAATCCTGCTGCTATCTCCTCCCTCTTCTTTCTTTCCATATTCTTTCTTTTTTTCAGGAAAAGAGAGTATATATTGTGTTTTTCTTTCTCACTCTTTTTCTTTTCTTCCTTTTATCATGAAAAGAGGTTGTATGTTGTTTTTGAATGTCAATAAATTGTCTATTAACCAGTTATTTACTAACGCCTGATGAGATGTGTTAATACACATCAAAACATGATTGCATTTGTGTAGTATTTTTACGTTTTTGATGTAATATCCTAAAATAAAGAATATTGGTCCACTTTTGTATTGAGCCCTCTTTTAATAAGAATGTTATGAACGTCAGAATTGGATTCTATTTGTCCTCATTTCACATGGATATATATGTGTAATATGTGTATGTATATAAATATATATATATATATATATATATATATATATGCAATTTTATATATAGTATCTGTATATTATATACGCACAGTACTTATTGATTAGCACTCTCTCTCTCTCTCTCTCTCTCTATATCTATATATATATATATATATATATATATATATATATATATATATATTTGCATTATAGGTCAAAAGTTTGGGATAGGTCACATACTGGATTTAATAATTAGTAAGTTTTATCACTTTTTTGGTTAAATTAACTTGCACTAAGCTTGGGTGCTGAGTCTATTGAATTAATTAGTGCATGGCTAGTGTATGGTGACCATTTTTTCAGAGACAGGTTTATCTAAAATTAAAAATACGCCGGCCCTAAGATTACCATAAGCCTGCAAAGTAGATTAAGCAAAAAGAGCTAAAGTTTTAAGGAAACTTCATGCAGAATGGCTTCATTTCATTATTATTATTATTATTATTATTATTATTATTATTATTATTCTTGAATATAAAAATAAACTCTTCAGGAACAGAAAGAGCCTCTGGCCTGAAGTGAGCTAGAAAATTAATTTTGAAAAAGGCATGCAATCTTCAGTTTTTAGTCTATTCTTTGAAATCCAGAACATTACATACTAGTAACATTACTCCTAGTAGCTCTATATGTTGTATCCTTAGAAATTACAGTGATACATTGGCTTAAGTTGTTTCAAGTGAACTCATTTTTGAAGATACATCAATCTTTCTTAAAATAAATCTCAACTTTAAAATAATATTATGTATACTATATATACATATATCATAAAATCATCAAAAACAAAAAAAAAGTAGCATAATAAAATATGTTCAGCAGATGTTCTTATTTCAAATTCCTGCTGAAAGGCAGCACTTATGCATTGTTTTCCATTCCAACACTGATTTTGAATTCAGACTTGTTTACATCTGTGCTCTGCCACTGACGTTCTTTCAGTTACATTTCAATTGTGATTTAGAATATACTAGCAGTAGAGCCCGGCCTTTCCCGGGGATGTAACAGTAAGAGATAGATCAAGTATCGACTATCATAAAGACTGAAAAATAAAATTGACAAAGATTATTGTTTAAGGTTGATGGACACGCATGTCTTAATTAGTTTTTTTGTTTTTTTTTACGAATTGGTCAAACCCAAATTCAAACAAAAACATTGTTTACAATCGTTATGAGTCTATCGATTGGTGAATAGAATTTTATTATAAACAACTGTCTTGTAAATGGAATTTTTAAAGCATTCTGAATGTAAATAAAGAAAAAAGTGAATAAGAAATACTACCTGCCGAAAAAAAAGTGGAATGTTTGTTTTATCGGCTGAAAAATGTAAGAAATCCGACCCCATATATAAAGGAACACACACACACACACATAAACAACCTGGGTTTTTTAACCCAAGTCACTCCACGGAATCGCTAAAACGTAGAGCTTAGTCTGATGAAAAAGACGCCAAAGTTTATGAAAACAAAATTTTATCGTCAAAATGCTTATGTTTTTATGAAGATGATAGACTAAATTTTTTTTTAATTATTTTTTTAAAATTTTTCCATCTTTTTAGAATATTCTAAATTTTGATTTAAAAAACCTTGTTTCTCTTTGTCGCAACAAGGGTAGTAAATAACATAGATAATTTTTAGCGCGTTTTTTTGTATTTACACACATTAATTTGGAAAATCTTGCAAAAATAAAATAATTGTCAGATGTTAATGAAACTTTCAGAAACTATTCACAGATCGAAATTATTATAAATATGTTTTTTTTTATTAAAGTCATGGCAGAAATATTTATTTTTATATTTATTAACACCCCCATAACTAATTTTATGAAAAACTCTAGAAATTGAGACCATCGGTTTTAGTGATTACAATAGTTAAAAGCACAAGGCTTTGAAGAATGCAAATCATGTTTTTTTTTTTTTTTTTTTTTTTTGGCCAACGTACCTGAAAATCAGCTGTGAATTGTAACATACAAAACTCAATAAAACAAATATATTATTTAGTTTCAAATGCTTTTTGTTTTAATTTGTTTTTTATGAATATGGACAATATTTTCTGAAAGCAAAAATTTTTTCAATGAAAATTGAATTTTTAATACAATTATTTCTTATTTCTTTAATTTTAAAAGATTTTTAAAAATGTTTAAATTGAATTTAAAAAATATTTTAACATTAGTTAAAAGCAACATCAACCTTTCAAAATGTCCGTGGGAGGTTGTCCTTGTCTAGCGCTTTGAAAATTGTATAATTTGGACCAATCAGATTAGCCATGGTAATTAAGAAATGTAATTTTTGTGTTTATAGTCGGACAGTAATTATCAAGTACGGAAGACCAACCAGAATACAATTTAGTTGCATTATTTGAGTTCAGCATTGTTCTCCGCCCTTTACTTTTGCGAAACACGTATGGAGAAGTTAATTTGAGTTTTCAATTTCAACTGAGAAGGGTACCTACAAGTAACAGTATCATCTTATGAAATTTAACTACTGCTAAACTTTAATTTATATGATCTTATTTTTATATTAATCTCAGTTATGACATTTTTCCATAAATGAAATATCAAAATTAATAAAAAAATGAATGGAAATACAAATAACACAGTAAATGTAATAAATGTACATAAAATTATAGTATTTTATGTACATCTGATAAAATTTCATAAGAAAGGTACCTAAATTAATTAGATACCTTTTTCTTATGAAATTTAATCTCACTATTAATAGTCTTATTTTTAATTTCTTTATATTTTCCATAAAGCATCGTAAACGTAAAAATGAAAGCTAAGTACAAAAAAAAATTAAAAATTAGAGCGCTGAAAGTTTTCCTTAAAAGTAACAAGGTAAATAATTTGTTCACTTAAATAATTTCACTTCCTTCCATCCGTAGAAAGAATACTCCTCCCGTAAGTTATCTAAACGTCATGAATGTGCCTTTCGTCAATCGTCAAGCGACGCGAAAGGTTATGACCTGCTTTGTTTTATTTTCAAATTACATTTTTTCGGCGCAGAAGCTAAGTTAAGCTTGGTTCAAAATATTTTAAATAAACAGTATAATTTCTGTTTTTATTAAAATCAGTTTTGAAAAATGATAATTGATTTTTAAAAGAATATCAAAGTAAGATTTTAATCTTTTTTATCAACTCGAAAAAAATGATTGAAAATGATTGATTATCTGCCCTTTTTTTTTACCAAAAAAAAAACAATATTTTTAACGAAAATTTCAGACGTGCTAGAAACGATTAAAAAATGTAAAAAAATACCCCCAAAATACTTTGATCTTTCCTCTTTAATAATAATATGAACATTAGACGATAAAATTTTGTTTTCGTCAAGTTCGGCTTTTTTTTCATCATGCTATGCTCTTTCGTTTACATTTTCGTGGGTGAGTTGTCCCCCTTTCATTCTCACGATGTGTCTTAATCGTGTTTTCAAATTGATTTTATTAAAAAAACAACTGTATTTTTCCCATTTTCGGTCCCGTTAGAACCACCACAAGGTAATTTTATGTAGTCCTGTGAAGTTTTGTTGAAATCGGCTAAAAAATGTAGGAAATTCGATCCAACATATAAACGTTACACACACACACACACACACACACACACACACACACACACACACACACACACAATCTGCGTTTTATAATAAGATTTTTACCCATGGCTCTAAGGAAAAGTCCCAGTGTAAGTGCTAATGCTAAGTGTAAAGCTATATCACTGAAAGATAAGGTAGAAATTAATTATTTTATTCAGAATACTGTATGTACCTATCATAAATACTGTAATAGGAAATGGGTAGTCCTTAATTGCAGTTTAGAGTGTGGTTATTTTGACTTAAGTCATTTTTTCGATTTAAGTTGTGACCTCTGGAACCAATTAACAACATAGGGTGAGGTATACCTGTACTTTGTTAATACCTTAAATACAAAAATAAAATGTCAGCAGATATGAACATTCAAGAAGATTTAAATAGGAGGCTGAGCATTCTTTAAAGGTGTAATCTTGCTGGGCTGTAAAGCTCTCTGTGGCCAAGCGGTGTAAAGCCTGCAGGATGAGATGGGGATTTCCCCTAACAAAGGGGGAAGTATGTTCAAACCATGTCAGAAAGCATTATGAAGACTCTGAAATGTATCAGCCAGGAGATGTAATTTATACTGTTTAAAAAAATTAGGGCATTTGCCCTAAATGTGCACAGTCCAGAAAATCTCTTAAATAAAGAATATTGATCTTCTTTTGTATTGAACCCTCTTTTACATGGAACGTTATGAATGTCAGAACTGGATTCTATTAGTTCTCATTTCATATGGATGCATATATACATACATCTATCTATCTATCTATCTATCTATCTATCTATCTATCTCTCTCTCTATATATATATATATGTAAAATGTGTATGTATATAAAATAAAAATATATATATATATGCAATTTTTTTATATATATTATTTGTATATTATATATGTGCAGTGTTTATTGGAAAGCACACACATACTCTCTCTCTCTCTCTCTCTCTCTCTCTCTCTATATATATATATATATATATATATATATATATATATATATATTTGCATTATAGGCCAAAAGTTTGGGGTGGGTCACATACTGGCTTTAATAATTAGTAAGTTTTGTAACTTTTTGGTTAAATTAACTCGTACTAAGCTTGGGTGCTGAGTCTATTTAATTAATTAGTGCATGACTAGTGTATGGCGACCATTTTTTCAGAGACAGGTTTATCTAAAATTAAAAATACGCCGGCCCTAAGATTACCATTAGCCTGCAAAGTAGATTAAGCAAAAAGAGCTAAAGTTTTAAGGAAACTTCCTAATTCCAAACATCATAATTTTTCTTAATCCCTTTTTAGACTTTTATCACATTAAACATTTGTTTTAGTGGATACTCATATTTCAGTAGACATTCCATTTATTTATTAAAAAGTATATTTCCTTATTTTCATCTACTGGCCTGAATATCTTATTAAAGAAAACTGCACTGAAGGAAGCATGTTCAGTCACTGCTAGAGAGTGCAATTTTTTTTAATAAGATTTCTCGAACAAATATATATTGCTTAAAATTTGATATGTTTATATGCATGCCCAATATTTGGGATAGAGTGATTATAAATTTAGACAGTGTGGACATAGGAATGAACAGTGCATTAAGTCAATCTTCCAAACAAGTGCAACAATACCTTTAGCCATCTCTCTATATAAGTCACTGGAGTATTAAGAGAAGTGAGGAAAGGAAAAAATCCTTCTAAGTTCTTTTGTTATCTATGGGCATAATCTTTAGATTGCTTATTTATGCTGGGTTGAGTGATTGGAGGAAGTGGGTATGGCAATAGGTTAGGATTATTTATAGGATTATTTATAGGATTAATAGGATTAGGATTATAAATAGGTTAGGATTACTTATGGTTATGACCTCAAGCTTGCTCATTTATATATTTTATTTATTTATATTATTCACTTATATATATGTTTTGTATATTATTCTTTTGTGTATATTTTGGTCATATTTAGGCATAACACTGACAGTCACCGCACAGTGTTGATTCCTATATCCAGGCTATTTCTCTTTCTTTCTCTCTCTCTGCATATATATATATATATATATATATATATATAACAATAAAGCTAAAAACACCTATCAAATAATACAAAGCAATAACACCTACCAAAATAGATAAAGGTTACTAGAATTTAACATATTTTAAATTTATCAGAATTTTTGACCAGAAATATGCTCAATAGATAACTACAGTGACAATAGTCAATAAATTAATAAATATTCAGACTTATATCTTAACTGACCCCAAAGATTGATATAAAACTGCTCATCAGGCTCGGTGTGTTTGATAAATCATTGTTTATTCAACTCTCTGACTCTGAGGAGTGGGGTTATGTGAAAGTTAAAACAGATTTAAAACATGTTAAATTTTGATAGATAATATTGATTTTGATTATTATTACTGTTATGTATATAAATATATGACAAACTATGATTAAAGGTATGAGATTTCCCCCAATAGTTTTCTATACATTTTTATGTCATATATATGTGTGTGTGTGTGTGTGTGTGTGTGTGTGTGTGTGTGTGTGTGTATAAAAGAACCAGACAGGATTGTCTCCAATTCATACTGAACTAACTACACTTTATGTCCTCACCTCTTCCTCAAATAACATACTAATGTTAAATCTGAGGTCAACACTATCAGTTTTTTCCCACTCTCTAAATAAAATAGCAATATCTCTTGACTTTAACCAGGAGTATTTTTTCCATTTCATTTGTGATTTGTTTGTAGGTCTTGAAGGTTGAGAGCTGCTTTTTTAGAGCTCTCATGAAATAAAAATTATTACCTATGGGATTTTAAGTGTTTGATATTCTTTAATTAATAATATATATATATATTTTATATACAGATATATATATATATATATATATATATATATATATATATATATATATATATATATATATGTATGTATTTAGGATTAATACAAATAAATTTTGTTACTTAGCTGATTGATATTATATATATATATATATATATATATATATAAAAGATGATGACATAAAACTGAAAATTTATTAACTACATGTTTTGCTGAGATTGTCTACTCTTTTTGATTTCCTCAGTTTAGAATGAAAAAAGAAAAACTATGTAAAGAAAAATGCATTGGAGTCTCTGAGAATAAGTGAGAACCATAAATCAAACAAAATTACATTACCTGATCTCCTCCAATGTCCAGACTCAAGAGAGTGTCTGTCCACCTGTTTGTTTGTTTTAGCTATACATTTATTAGAGCTTTGGTGTTGTTGGATTTTAAATCAGTCCACTAAAACTAGATAGTAATTTTTATTATATATATATGCTAGCATATATGTGTATATACATGCATACCTACCCAAGCATATACATATATTAGATCCTGTATATATATATATATATATATATATATATATATATATATATATGGTTGAATTGATGTAAGTTTGTTTTGTAAAATATGATAGCTCTATCTCTGATATTGAGCGCTTTCTAATAAGTACCGCGCATATAATATATAAATAATAACATATATATTACATATATATATATATTTATGTATATAACACACACTTTTCCCATATATATATATAAATATATATATCTATATATATATTATAATTATTTTAAAAAAATATGATTCCATCTCTACATAAGAGTTCTCATGTTTCACAAACAGGAGCCAAAAACTTCAATTTAATTATAAAAATTAAATTAAACTAAAGTATCAAGCTCTGTTTCATCTTCAAGCAAAATTTTTGGAAGACCTAACATATTCTTTCCTATTTTTCTATATATTTACACACACACACACACACACACACACACACACACACACATACATATATATATATATATATATATATAAGTTGGCACTGGGGTTAATGCCACCAAGTAGCAACAGTTTACATGCTTGGATGAAATCTTCAGACCATCTATTTTGTGTCTTGGCTTGACTATTTATGTATGTTTTGTCAATGGTGCATTATGGGTAATAAGGTGTATTGTATTATCCTAACTGTTTTTGGGTGAGCAGTAATGGCTATGTTTCAATATTATTCTGGAAGTTATTGCGTAAAAATAATTGTGGATCTGAATGCAGTTATTTGGAGCTATTTTATAGTCTTGTTTGTTAATATTTTACTTATAATTAAGTAATCAGTAATAAATAATACAACATCACACAGTAATTTTTTTACCTTGAGTGGCTCTTGGGCTTTGTACTGGGTGAACATTAGTATCAAAGAAAGGTACATTTGACTATATTCTAAGTTTAGCTTCATTTGGCACAAGACTATAAATGTGGAGTATCTAACTCACCACTAAATTCCTGCAAGAATAAACATCGTATTCTGGAAGGCAGCCAAACAGTATCATCTTTAATTATATGGCATCAAGAGTGAATATTGTAATTCACTCAGCTCTTTGCAAGGCTTATAAAACCAAGACACTATTTTTAAGATATTGTCTTTAAAAATTTAAATTTTGAAAAAAAAATGAGATAATAAAAAAGGGAGATAATAAAGTGTAATGTGTTTGGAAAGTATTTTTTTAATGAATCATAATCGTGGATGTTTCGGCTAGTACATTCTCAGACCTTCCTCAGTTGTTTTCCACATCTTAAATATATTTTTTAAATCCTTATCTCTCTCTACTGCAGTACTCGTCAAGCAAGATTGATTTATCTGCCAAAGTCAGTTTTCATTTGTTGGGAAATTTTCTTACTCTTTCTCTCACTCTCACTCTCTCTCTCTCTCTCTCCTTATTTTTTTGTCTTGTACACACACATACACATACAACAGATCACAAATATATTCTAATATGATATCCTCACCTTCTATGTGCAGCAGTAATGGATTCTTCCAGTAAGAACATATAATGGACTCTCCCATCGATTTCAATGTGTGAGAGTTCAACAATTAAAACAATTCAAAAGATTTGCAGACAAGGTTACAAATGGTGCAAGAGGGAGGGTTTTGAGACAGGGTGAATGGTAATTATGGTTTTGTCCTTGTTCTTGATTCCCACAGTCATAGTGCTGCAGACTGGGATCATCTCCCTGCACCAATGTATATTCAAGAAATCATCTTGACAAATGAAGAGATTCAAACCTGAGCCTTAGGATCAGAATGGATGAATGTCCTTCCAATTTACATATGAATCTCTAACAACAAGATCATTTCGCATGTTTATTCCTGACATGGATTTTGGTTTTCTGCCAGTGATTTGCAGACAAGATTGAAATTAATGCAAGAGGAAGGGTTTCAATTTGAAATAAATCTCTATTGATTAAACTGTATAGCAAACGGGCAGTTAAATACTACATAACAGATCAACAATCTTTAATAATTTCCTGGTAGTGAAAACAATAAAAACTGATGCATGAAAACCCAAAATGGCACTCGCAGCTGCATGAAAACACTACTTGTAAAGTCAACATGACACCAAATGATGTATAAAGATGCAACACTTGAAAGCTGCCAAAAAAAAGACAATGCATATATGTAGATATGATCCTATAAACTTTTACTCTTCTACCCAATCATGGGAAAGGTTTTAAGAATAAACTGTGAAGACAAATCTGGAGCCAGAGTCCTAAAGTCAGTTCTGTGCTATATTCAGCTTTGTTCTTGCAACTCTTGCAACACTGCCAATGACAAGCTGTATTGGACTCTAATTTTCCCTTGGACAACATCAGTGACAGAGAGGTGAGATGTGCTGCATGGGCAACCACCAAACTCTCATAAAACCCTGTCCAGGCTTGCTCTTATGACAGCAAAACATGTGAAACAACAGGTCTACTGATGGGAGGATTCTAAAGGTATTTCAATATAG